ATTTATGCGTCTAGTCTCTGTGAACTACTATCGTTTTGCTGATAGCACCGTTAAAGTAAAAAACTGACTGAGAGAAAGGCGAAGCAAGGGTCTCAGTGGTGTAGTGGCTAACACATGACCTCATGGAAAGGGTAGTCACTGGTTTGAATCTGGCTAGAGTCTTTTGGTTGTGTTTCACATAATACTGTATCATGAAAAAATAATAGGTACAGACACCTACCTGGTGTTCAATAGGCCTCAGCAATTCACTGTGTAGGCTGAGTATTCAATTATCATCTGTTCAATTATATATCTATTCAGTACTATGATGATGATCCAAAATGGGGTGGAATGAATGGCTACTTCCTAAAGGATTGTTCAACAATGAACGATTTATCATTTTTGATCTCATGACAGACCCGTAATGGTTAGCGTGCCTTTGGCCCAGTAACATACTTCGATGACCCGTGCTCACATGTAACCAGTGTTCGTTGTTTATTTCGACTTATTTCGTTCCTATTGAGTTTTTGTTAAGTCTAAGTCTAGATTACTTACGTGGGTACTTGGATGGCCCGTCCTCACTGCTTGTGTGGGCTCCAGCATAATTTCCATTTTCGTGGAGTTTTGCTGGTTTAGCCATCGGCGTTCCCTGAAGTCCCGAGGTCAGCGCAGCAAATGCCTGCCGCAGGTTGTCACTATCATAGGCAGTCGCCGCCTTTATGGATCAGAGGGAGGCTTTGCCACCATGCGATTAGTTTGGTACCAGGATAGTCGTGGGTCCTGCTACTGGATTACTCTTAGTTGGGCTGCCAGATGGAAACGCTGGGCGAGAAACGAGCTATTTTTTCTTGTCTGAGGATTAGAATTAAATGTTATTAAATGTTACGCTAATTGTTAGTCAAATTGCCAGCCAATGAACTTTTTCGAATGGTTTTTTGTAAATCGTTAGGTGCCGAGAGTGGTTCTTCTGCTCACCCTCATCCTATTCTGTTCTTCTTTCAATTATTTGTCGAATAAATGTACATAGTGTGGTAAAAAAAAAGAGTTCTTTAACCCACTTTTAACCCACTGAACTGGAAATATACGCCATAATATTCCCCAAAATCGATTTTGTATTAACCTCGACATTGGTGAATAACTCGCTATTTTCTTCATCAGCACACATAAGGTTGTTATTGTATACTGTTTATTTACAATAGCTGTCATTCCATCGGATTTTGTCTTCTTTAGAGCCTGGGAAGGGCATACACCCAAGTGTCCATATCCTCTTCTGTTTCAGGAATCTATAGACCCTATAGTGTCCACGACGGGAATTATAAGCTAATGCCTCGGTATTTCCATGTAACTCCGTTTCAATACTGTTAGTATACAGCTATCGTATTCTCCAAGCCAGTGAGTAGTCGGGGATGTAGAAGTAGATCCTTTTTCGTGTTAACGGGAGTACACATCGGTCTTGGGAAGGAGTTATAGCGCAGTGGTTATTGATGCCGTCAATCGAAGCAAAGGCACTAGTTCGACCATCACCCCACGCGCTCCCGCAGTCCACGTGGGAACGTCTTAGACCTGGTATTTCCAAAACTACAATGAGAACCAACTCGAACGCCGTTCAGTGACATTCATGATGAAAGGAAAATCTTCAAACAGAATATGACTTCAATGGGAATGTCCATGTCATGAACTGTGGCCGTCATGCGTGTGCACATTGAATGGTGAGAGAGTATGATTTTCATTGTATTACATTACTTAGAATTGGCATATCATAGCGTTACTGGTTTTCAAAACAGGAAGTTGCTAAACTGATATAATTTAATTCAACGACCCTCTCCTGCACTACAGGCAGAGTAAGGAAGTAGTTTGCCAGTACATATATTCGCCCGATTTACTTGTCATTACTTACCTCGTTTGTTATTTGGATGGTCCGTGTTCACGAATTGTGCGGGCTCCAGTACGATTTCCATTCGGCCTGTCATTTACTGGCTTAGCCGTTGTGATCCCCTGGAGTCCCGCAGTCAACTTAGCTGGAGCTTTTCTCAGGTCGTCACCTGTCCAGCCATCGGCAGCCTTTGTGGATCAGCAGGAGATTTGCCACTATGCAACCAGTTTGATACCAAAACGGCAATGATTCTTGGTATTGGTTTACTCTTTGCTGGGGTTCCAGATGGAAACGTCGGACTACTTCCCAGCTTGGGAGACTGCTGAGGGAATGTAGTCCCTGCTTTGCATCGCACGCTGACACTGAGGAATGCCTTCTAGCCACGATGAGGCGATAAACCGTTGGGAGGATCACTTGTCATTAAAACTTTGAACTATTATTTCACTCTTATTCGATTGGAATGCGAAATCCATAATGTCTAAATCTCGTTATCTTAGAATTTTCCAAAGAAGATGTTAAATTTAAGTCTGCTGCCATCTATGAACCATTTATTTTAGCAGTTACTGCAAATTCAATGTGCTTATTAGTGTTTGTGAATTCTAAGGCAGAAGATACGATTCTATCAAAATTATACCCAGAAGTAACTTTTTACCGCCTTGTTATGTTTTCCTTGAATTCAGCATATTCTACCATTCCGAAAGGGAAGTGGTGTTCAAGGATAGTCGACCGTAGTAATGGTTACCCTGATTCGATTTTAATTATAACTTTCAAGAATAGTTGATGTACCAAATGATCTTATGGGGGCAGACAGCGTTAGAACTTTTTTTTTAAAGAGAAATCGTACTCGCAACCTAGAAAAGAGCCACTTTGGCGTGTTTTGCTTCCGTAAGGTTGTCATTACTTTGAAAAAGATTTGGTTTCTATGATAAATTCTGTTGAAAACCACTAGAAGTAGTGGAATGAACTGGCCTGCTCCGTCTAATGTCAGTCTTTTCTTGAGTACTGCCACAATATTTCACTGCTACAAAGAAGCCCAGTCGTTGATTTGATGAAACTTAGCAAATATTTTACGTATTTGCAAAAGTAGATGCTACTTAGGTAGTAGTTCTATTTACATAGAAGAATTTCACAAGTGGTTTGGTTATTCTCAATTCCAGACCATGAGAAGTTTTCGAGACCAGGTCTACATTCCGGTGGGTTTGTATAGCATGACTGGTGCAATGTTCCAACCCGTCGTACATTCTATGATTTATCGGAAGGTATGCCAATAGTAAAGCTTTAAGCTTCTCCATTTTCCCTAATCTTATGATAAGTATAGAAGAGGCGCATGTAGCGCAAAGGTAGGACGCATCTTCAATACACACGTGGAGTCGGTCTCCTCGCCCATGGTTCACTAAGCCTTCCTTCCCTTCGGGGTCGGCAATTTGGTACCAGACTTGTCTGGGAAGATAGCAACACTAGCTCGATTCATCGGTAGGCCACCGCGAGTCATTGTGAAGGCCAGATATGCATCCAATCGCCTCCAAATGATGTTTAATGAAGTTGAGTTCATGGCGCATCCCTCAGGGGTTGATCAACGCCGAGAGCTTTATCCTTTTTTATGATAAGTAATTGAAGGTGTGTATGTCGTTGTCAAACGAAACCGGTATCACCGATTGCCTCAACATTCTCTCAGAAGCTGCGAAAAACCAACGTATTCAGACGGAGGCTAATCGAGTTGTTCTTTTCGGGTATGCACTATGTATATATGTATATATATATATATATATTTACACATCTATATGTATATATATGTATATGTATATACCTATGTATATATATATATATATATATATATATGACCTGTAGTGGGATCTTAATTTGATATAGGTTCGGTAGATACGTACAAGTGTTTTCATCTGTTAACCTAGTAGTGCAGAGCTTTTCAAACTGACCATCATTCAACCTCGGTAGTAATAATCAATACCTTCACGGATTGTTAATCTTACACCAGGTTCATGTTGTACAGGTTCATCACGCGTTTGGGTTCACTTTATTTTCAGTTCATTTTTCAGTTCATGTAGGATCATCGGCTTTGATGAAGACGAAGACGTCGAAACCTTAGCCGAATGAAACTTATATAACAATCTCGTGTAAGCTTAGCAATCAAAGAGGGTATTAATGAACGAAATTTTGTATCAACAAATAATTCTCAAGTAAACGAGGATTAATCGAAACTAAGGACTGTATGGTCCAATAATGTGAAGCCTTATTTGAAACACTGCTTATTCTCTTTTTCATATTTCTCTCATTTTTGAAGGAAAATGGGTGCGATCCTACCTAGACGTTTTTAATTGTAACTATTGAGATTATCCTGATGTATTCCATTGTTGATCATTCAGCAGTGTTGTGCACGTACGGTTCATAAATCCAGAGTCCAAAGTGATATTTGGGAATGACATCAGGCTAAATGTTTTGTAATCCTTTCTACTTCTGTTCAGCAAACACGAGGTGCTATTTTATTTCTTTATTTACGTACAAGCTGACGTTTCCGCGGATTTCGCCTTCCTCAGAGTCTGGAAGGGTCAAGTTGACAGCAATCCACTCGGCCAAACACCTCCATAACCAAACAGAGAAAACGCCTAACCAAGATTTCAATCACATTTAGCATAGCTCTGCACACTCACCGCTTTCTATGAGTCTTCCACTGAGTACTTCCACTTCCAATGCAGACGTGGCATACTCAGTGGAAGACTCATAGAAAGCGGCTCTGAGGAAGGCGAAATCCGCCGAAGCGTCAGCTTGTGCGTAAATAAAGAAATAAAATAGCACTTCGTGTTTGCTGAACAGAAGTAGAAAGGATTATTCAATCAATGTCGAGGTTAATAGAAAGTCGGATTTGAGATTTACTACAAGATGTTTTGTAATCGTCGAAGTAGTAGAGGTGTTGTAAATATGAGACGGATTTCAACAAAATCCTATGTAAATAATGGGATCACTGGCTCAGAGAAAGACGATGACATCGAAACGTTAGCCGTGTAGACCTCATCAACCTGTTTTTAGCTTATCACTGAAAGAATATGTATCGTCTAGTCAGGCCGAGGTTAAACGAAAGTCAGCTTTTGAAAATATCTGTGTAAAAGCTACAATGTAACCACTATTTATTTACTTTACTGTCTATAGCTTTTTTGTGGCAGGCTGTGATGTGAAATACAACTACAGTGATGCTGAGATATTTGCAAAACTCTTTTGCCCTGAAAGGGTAATAGCGAGGTTCAATCCCTGCCGCACACACCTGCTGTCCAGAGTTTTGCAAATATCTCAACACTATTGTAATTGCATCTGTGTAAAGGTTTTTTCTGTCCATTATTGCCTAGGATGGAAATGATTTTATGATGTTCTCAGATCCATATGTATGTGCGTTGCTGGTATGGCTTCATCGTCTTTCATCGGAAGTGTCGGTGACAAGAGGTCACGGAAATTATCCATGTTGGTGCCGTTCATTGGTATTATTCTGGCTGACATCACATTGCTTCTTCAGGCGATTTTCTTTGAGGTAGTGGAAATAGTTTTAAGTGTTTTCCTTAGATAGAGTAATAATATTTATATAACTTTATACATTATCGTTACAGTGTCTATCTGTTTACAGTCCTCGCCGTACTGGTTTCCGTTCTCGGAGTTAGTTTTCGGATGTTTTGGAGGATATATGACTATTCTGTCAACATCGTTCGCATATATAACATCTATTCCCAGGGTGAAAGATAGTGAAAAAAGTAAAAGTGTCGCTCGACTTGAAGGAACTTTAGGTGTTGGAAGTATGCATTTGGTATTACCTCTACCTTACAGGGGAATCAAAAGCACAGTATTTCATACATTTTCTTTTCTTCTAGGTATCGTTGGGTTTTTAATTTCTTCCCAACTAGACATAATTAACTATGTGAATATGTTTGTAATGTTTATTGTTGTGCATATTATATGTTTCTGCTATATAGCACAGATGAACGAACCCATGAATTCCCATAAGGACCGCGGTGACTTGCACGTGAGTTCAATTTTTTCCTTCTAGGATTGATTTTCTGAAGGTAATCTGATAGTTTTATAAGAAAATCGTGAATTAGCTGTTCCTTATTTTATACAGTTGATTCCTTCGTTGATCGTTTGTGGACGAAATGCGAACCTCCAAATAATTTTATGTTACATTGCTTTTGGAGCGTCCTATCTTGTTTTTCTTGGTACGTTTAGTTCTACTTTACATGTATTCCACGTTTTTACTGGACATTTGGAAGGCAGTCGATGTCATAGTTGTTTGCAATTGGTGTCGAATTAAGGATCGTCACAAATTTTGTTCTTTTACTTGAAACAACGTTTTTATTGGGACGCAGAAATGTACAGTTATTTACGAGCTCTTACTCGGATTTTCTCATCGATAATGGTATGACATTGTGTGTTTTGCTATTTTCCTGTTCGAAATGTATTGAAAATATATTTTATTAAGCAGGACTATCACACATGTTACTGGGTTTCCCTAAATTATCTTACTGTTTTCTGTTTCAGGCACTTTTTATCTATCCTTTGTGCAAATCGTACGGGGTTCGTGATGTTGTTTTGGTCGTTATTGGTTTGGTAGCTCGTGGTTTAGGACGAGTGTGGTATGCCGTAGCTTGGAGCAATATCAGTGTTTTTGGTTGTGGGTCTATAAAATTTAGTGTAAAAATATAAATAGTAAATTAATGCGAATGAGGTCTGCAAATCTATGATGAGGGTAAAACGGAAAAGATTCTCTTCATTTGCACAATTCCACGAAGAGTGATTATTATAGCAATTGTATAAAATATAAAGGATAAAGTTCTCGGCGTTGATCATTCGCTGAGGCATGCGCCATGCATTCGACTTCATTAAGCATGTTGGAAGTGATTGAATGCATATCTCGCCTAGACGACGACTTGAGGTGGCCTACCGATGTATTAAGCCAGGGCTACTATCTTTCCAGACAGGTTTGGTACCAATTTGCCAACCCCGGAGGGATGGAGGACGTGGTGTGCCTGTAAGTGCGGGAATCGATCCTATGTGTATTGCCGAGCTCCTCAAACCACGACACCACACGCGCTTCTGGCAACCCTATGTCATGTAATTAAGCAATTTTTGTAAATTGTAAATATAGATCATATAGATTAACCTTTGATAATCTTAGTAAAAAGCAGCTAGTCAGAACAGCCATTTTTTCTTATTAGTATGAAGCATTCAGTGTCCAAGTTTAGAGTTTAATATCGCAGTGATCTTTGATTACTTGAAAAATCCTTTGGTTTTGCTGTTAAAGTCAACAGTGAATGCGAACAATTTTCAGCTGTACTGTTTGAAATGTTCGCACGATTTCCAGCTAGTGGTCTTCGTTCACTGATCTCGAAAAATTCGAAACCCAATGAACAAGGTTTGTGAATACAATCAGCTGTTACGAAGTTACATGAAACTGTAGTTTACACCAACATTAGTTCCTTTTTAAGTAAACTGTAAATCAGTAGTGATCATAGGAGCTGACTTCATACAGTTTTCAACTCATATGCATTGGTACCAATACATACGCTCGATCAAATTGGAGCATATACTTTGGTTTGAATGCATTTTCTTTCCGGTCGATGTAGATACTGTGATTTACTTTTTCTATTCATTCGATAGGTTATCGGACACAGATTTTGTCCATGGCACAGTCTATGAAAAACTATTCTCTAGAGTTAGTAATTTGCAGAAGAAATAGTTCTCTTAGGAATTTATTCATTAGGCGCAAGGCGGAAAGAATGTTTCAAACCAGGAGGGTACTATTGTAAGACATTTACTACTACGTGTTCTTATTTTCGTCATTCTCAGTTCCGAGAAGAAATAGCCGATGTAAACGTGATGTGGTATACTCAATTTATCTTCTGAAACCGACTACTCCAAAGGATAGTAGCGTCTAGTTGTATAGTGGTTGCGATTATTCATTACGCAACAGTCGAATGTTTTCTAAATACATGAAAAGATACGTAGAAGAATACTGAACCTTAATAGAACATAAAAAGCTAAGGAAATGAGCGAAATACTGCATGAAAAAATTGGATTGTTGAGTTTAGCAAACACCATAGGAAAGGATTGTGGCAAACTTTGGATGCCACAACGAACCGTGTGTATCGAATTAAATCTGTAAAAAATAAATTGGTCCCACAGGCCAGCCATACAAATTTCTGTGTAGTAAGTGAAGAAGCAAACGATACACTAAATAAAACCTCAATTTTTAATAGGGTATTCGTCGAAATGGCCTCGGTGTACCTTGCGTGTCACTTTTGTAATTTGACACGTTAACTCTTGTTTTTTTTCTTTTATAATGATCGGTGTTTAGGAGCGTCTTTTGCAACGGTTGCAGTTCTTGAAGGCGGCTGTAAATTGCTGTCTGCTGTCGTTTTTCATACACTGTTTCCGTGGTCGATCTCATTCATGCCACAGTTGTCATTTATTCTCATGGCGGTATTAATTATTCCACCCACTGTCTTAATCTGGTAGGCTTTTTATATGGTACATGGAGTGCTTGGTAACTCCTGGTGCGTTAAAGTTCATTGTGCATGTGCTCTCTGCCTGAGGCATTTCTTTTTCTTGCGCATTCTTAGTGTTTATTTTAAGGGGAAAAGAGCTGCATTTTGCAGAAGGACACTAATTTAATTGCATTTTGTTTCAATTATTTCGTTTTCCGCCGTACATGTTGTGCCATATCGACAGTTTCCTTATGACAGATATTACACTGGGCGTGGTCTAAAAAAGGTTTTCTCTAAATGTAAAAAAGCTATAAAGGACAAGTGAAGTAACTTTGTTCTTGTCTACCAGTTCTGCAGTGATGCTCCACATATTATATTATGGATTGCTGCAAAATACTATTGCTGTTGTAAGCGGTACTAAGATATCCTTGCTCTGAGGGGAATTTTGGGTGGTATATACGGAGTTCAGTACATTCGGCGCGCGGCAAACAACTATATCTCATGTCTTAGGAGTTGAAAATGAGGCTTCCGACGATTGTATTGGAACTAGTTCAAAATTTTTTTACCTTTCCTATTTACTAATTATTGATTGGACATGAGTTCATAATAAGTCATAAGACCGATCTCGACCAATTACGACATAAATGGACTTGATATTTCGTACTTGCACACTGTCCTCGATAAATTTGATAACACCTTTTTCTTCGTTTTCGATAGTTAGTGTTTTGGTCTTATTCAGAATCGCTTTCGTTTTCTAAGTAATGTGACCCTCTGTATGCTGTTAACATGAGTGGTAAAAGTGCCTTGTAACACACGACATACTAAAAATACCAGTATTGTACCCACAACGATGCTGAGATATTCGCAGAACGTGGATTCCGGGTCAGATCGAACCGCGACTACCCTTTCCGGAGGCTTGCATATTACACACTGCACCACTGAAGCCTTTGCTCTGCGTTTCTCTCAGTTAGTTTTCTACCTAACGCTGTCATCAGCAAATAAAAGGTTAACATTGTGATTTCGACTACAGTCTCAGCTTAACTGGGTTCAATGCCGATTTGTGCTCCCCAGATCAATCCTGCTTACGGGTAATTGCTGTACATCGCAGCCAGACAACCAAGTACACCTCCGAACCACTATGAGGCGCTAAACAGTCCGGAGGAATGTGTCTTACAGTATTTATTAACAGACAATAGTTGACGTTTCGTTGGTTTCACCTTCTTCAGAGCCTGGGATGATCAAATTGACACGCAGTCCATCATATCCTCGGCAGGCAAAACATAACACATAAGTTTTCATTTGCGTATTAAACAGCTTCTTTCAAATATTGTTTTGTTATTTTTAAGTCTTACTTTCTAATTGTTTAAAAGAAGCTTTTTATTACGCGGATTAAAATTTACAGATTAGATTTTATCTATTAAGGTTATGAAAGTATTTGACTGAGTAAATCACATGTCAATTCCACCTGTCCAGGCTGTGAAGAAGGCGAAACAGCCAAAACGTAGGCTATTGTTAATGAATAAATGCTGTAATACCAACCTCTTGTTTGCTCAGCTATTGGTTAATGATGAGGTTAAAAGAAAGTCGTTCTTGGGATTTACTAGGTTTCATTCTTATAACACTGATTTCATTAAAAAAAACCTGTACTGATACAGTGTTATTTACATTGGAACGTTACGATTTGAAATGTTTACAATCTGACTTCTTACATAAAGTTAAAGAATAAAGCTCTCGGCGTTCATCAATCCCTGAGTGATGCACCATGAATTCGACTTCATTAAGCATCGCTTGGAGGTGATTTAATGCATATCTGGCCTTTACAATCATTCGAGGTGGTCTAGCGATGTATTAAATTAGTGCTGCTATCCTCCTAGGAAGATGTGGTGTCAATTTTCCAAACTCGGAGGTGTGGAAGGCTTGGTGGACCATGGGCGCCGGGATCGATTCCACGTGTGTGTTGCAGAGCGCCTCCAACTACTGCTCCACACGCGTCCAAATTGAAGCAGGATTTCTTACATACTATTCACAATCTTAAAACCTAGTATTTCGACGTTCACACATTTCATGCGTAATTTACAGTTGCAGTGACCCGCAATATTTGCAGTTACCAAGTTTAACATGCAAAAAAGTGGTTACAATCATTCCACACTTCCATTTTGCTTGAGCATTATAGAAACAATGCAAACAGAAATTTTTTAGTACATTGGCTGCACCTAGTGTTGACCCACTTGCTAGCGTTGCTATGCGGCAGATTTTAATTCCTGAGTTCTTTTTAGTACCTTTTATCAGCCAACATAACTTCGGTATGTTTCTAAAATTGGTTAAAGGATTTGGCGTCATAAGGGTGTAGCTAGAGCCCATCTTTTGGTATAAGCGCTGCTGAACTACCTGAGTCTTGAACTCAGTTCTTAATAATTTTTGGATACTTTCGCAATAGCCGCTCGACGCGTTCATCAAAGACGTTAGAGTAACTATGTGAAGGTTGCGTTTGCATCTGAAGTATGGAGATCAAAAGGCTTATGTACCTAAACCATAATGAGGTAAACTTGATGTTTCATCTTGTTTTTCTGATAAACGGGTAGTGGGACGCCATCTAGTTACTTCTAGTTACCGTTGCTATGATGATTGTTATTGTATGTAATGAGCACAAATATATATATATATATATATATATATATATATATNTATATATATATATATATATATATATATATATATGCAAGCTAAAAGCATAAGCCTTTCAGCGTTGATCAATCCTAGGAGGTGCGCTGTGCATTTGCCTTCATTAAGCATCATTGGAGGTGCATAGCTGGCCTTCACAACGACTTGCGGTGGCCTACCGATGTATCGAGCCATTACTGCTATCCTCCCAGGCAAGTCTACTACCAATTTACCGACTCCAGAACGATCAAGGGTTTGGTGAATGTGGGGTACAGGGATCGTCGCGCAGTAGTCGGAGGCGCCCTGCAATACATGGATCGATCATCGGGCTCAAGGCTCACCAAGTCTTCCATTCTTCCGTGGTCGGCAAATCGCTGCCATACTTGTCTGAAAAAGTAGTAGTACTGGCTCGATACGTCGGTTGACCACCGCGAATCATTGTATAAGCCAAGTATGCATTAAATTACCTCTAACCATGCTTGATGAATTCAAACGCATGGCGCATTCCTCAGCAATTTATGAACGCCGAGAGCTCTATCCTTTTGTTATGATGAATCATGAACGCTATAAAATGGGTAGGTAAAAAGTCATAAAGAAACCATGAAAATTTACTTTATATATCATAACACAATCATACCAAATGCTAACAGTAACAGAGTTCAGAGTTGCACTGTGTGGTCGCTGAACAAAATTAATCGTTGTCGTGAATGCGTTGTAGCTGGAAGTGGCCATTGTTTTCGCATGACGTGCGTTTGAAACGAATGCATTCTTACAGCTTACATATATATACATATATATATACATATGTATACATATATATATAATATATGTAATATATATTATGTATATATTGTTCTGGCATTACACGTCAGCTTCCTATAATCTCGCGTTAGATAGCTGTCAGTAACTGTATGCGCTTTGTATTTTACTTACCATTCATTCGTGTCTTTTTTATCCCCACTGTCTACCATGCACATCTTTAACTTAACATGGTGAGCAGATTATTTGGAACTTTCGGTGAAACAGTTTTTCTCTTTTAATTCAGTTTCTCTCTAACAATAAGCAGATTACTATCTTAGACAGGTGGCACCAAATTTGAAATCACTGTTAAGTTGCTCCTACATTTTGTTTTGTTTTTAAAACAAATAAGGCGGACTAGAACATATTTTTGAAGAAATCTGTAATTAATATTACATACTTACTTGAATGCTTGAATGGCCCGTCCTCAGTGGTTGTGCGGGCTCCAGCATATTCTCCATTCTTCTGCTGGTTAAACCGTTGTGGTTCCCTGAAATCCCGAATTCAACTTGGCCAAAGTCTGCCCCAGGTCTTCACCACTGCAGGCAGTCGAATTTTGTCTGTCTCATCCCGCTGACGGGTGATTGCTGATGGTAGAAATCGATAGTAGCTGAGAGACAGGCAAAACGAAGGACCCACATGGTGTGGTAAACGCGTTACTCGCTGGAAAGGGTAACAACGCGTTCGTTCCCTACCGCAGACACTTGCGGTCCGGAGTTTTGCAAATATCTCAGCATCATTAAAGTTAAAGATTTACTGTTGAAGACGTTAACATGTCAACATTGGGTGTGAATGGTTCGTCTTTACCACCGGTATTACAGTACTTTCGCTCCATTGACGTAAACACGTAAACATACGTAAACACGTTAACACGATACGTAGACAAGATCAACTGTCTAAGGAACAAGTCTAATCCTTTCTCAAAGTCCACTTTTAGCCATTAATCACTAGCAAGTAAGAAATCATTTCAGTGCTGTTGTAGGTACTATCGCAAGCAGGTGGATCAGAATAGCACTGAAGACAAATGTCCAGGTATAGGATTGCAACGTATTCTAAGGAAGCTTTAGGAAATCATTTGCTACAAATTTGTATCTGTATGTTCGTCCCGTGTCTCCTTTTCTTAACGCTCACGAATTCCTTTTCTTTCTTTCTTTCCTTGATAAACATCATACCACATACGACGATGTTATTACCTTCTTAGAACGCTATAGTATTCAATGTTCAGTTTAGGTTTCATTGTTCACTGTTAGAGGACATTCTTTACATTAAGATTTCTTGTTTCTAACACTATTACTGAACATCGACGTTTGTTCTAGATTCAACTGCTCAATGTTAGGAAGTACCTTCTTTTTTGTTAAGATTTGTTGTTCCTATTACTGAATACATCTCGATGTTTTTATTTCATCCCTTATGCATATTTTAAGTAAAGGTTAAGGTACAAATTTTCGGCGTTGAGAAGTCCCTGAGGATTGCTCCATGCAATCGACTTTATCAAGCATCGTTAAAGACGATTTGACTGCGTATCTGGCACTTGAAATGGCCTACCGATATATCAATTCAGTACCTCTATCTTTCCAGACAAGTCTGGTACAAATTCACCCACCCAGGAAGTACAGAGCACGTAGTTTAAGATTGAGCTGGCCACCAATCCAGTATTTTATTGCAGGATGCTTCTATCCACTGCGCTACGCTCCATTCTTGCAAATGTTAACCAAAAAACTTTTGAAATGTGGAGAAGATTATGTTTTAACCTTCGAAAAAGAGAAGAACCGATTTATGAACAATAAGTTACGACAATTACAACTCCTAAGTACATTACTTAACAACTTAAAACACTGAGCGTCTAAATAGGTTATAATTTACGTCAGATTTACATAAATGAACTGTACTATTCCGAACAGTGAGATCCAAATAACATCAGAAGAGTTGCTAAGCGATACCATCGAGTTCTATAAGCGGGGTGAACACTTATCCTAACCATAATAAATTAACGCTATTAGCATAGCAGTCACAAGTTTGAAAGCCCATATGCAGTCCTGTTAGTCAAACATTTCTCTCAACTGGTTGAGTATCATATTGTCGTCCGGAGGATTTCCTTTCGCAACTGTTTCCACACGATCACGAAGATAGACAAGCAGATTCGCCACGTACTCACTAGTTCTTCGAATTGCTGGAAAATATTTACAGGAACTAAAAGCATGACTACTCTGTATTATATCTTGCAACATTTACAACATTACAAACGGTTTATGTTACAAACTTCAATTTCAAGGCTCACTGTTACACTTAGCATTTAACATTTATTTGACTGAAAAGTTGGAAATATTGTTTAGAACGGCTGAACTGTAAAAGATTAGCATTAAGAGATTCTCAAACTTTGACCAGCACAATGAACTGA